GGACGTGGGTTTGCTTTGGCTTCGACTCTGAGAAGGGAATCCCCCAAGGGTTTTGAGCAGAGGAGGCACAGGGTGTGATGGAGTTTTAATAGGACCCTCTTGGCTGCTGTGTTGAGAATAGACTGGAGCAAGCAGGGACAGAGCAGGAGACCAGCAGGGGCGAGGTGACAGTGACTCAGGTCAAGGGTGGAAGCAGTTGCCAGACACAGGAGGTGGTTTCTGGACCTAGGAGGAGGTAAAGCCCGCCAGAACGTGTCAATGGCTTGGATGTGGGGTGTGAAAGGAACCAAAGATGCTGCCGAGTGAACAGGTGGAGTCCACGCAGGCCGTGTTCCGTCCGAGATTCCTTCTAGACATGCAGGATGTTGAGGAGGCAGCTGGAGAGATGAGTCTGGAGCTCACAGCAGGTCCAGGCTGGAGGTAGAACTGTGAGAGCCGAACAGCTGGGGAAGATCGCCATGGGACTGGAGACAAACTCCAAGGACAGCCCTGGAGTTCCGGATGGAAGAGCTTGGGGAGATGTACATAAACCACTAAGTGGCCAGCGCGGTGGGAGGAAAACCAGAGTGTACGGTGTCCTAGAAGCAAAAGAAGGTCTTTAAGTGTTTCTAGGAGCAGGAAGTGACCAGTGGCCTTAGATGCTCCTTTTAGACCAAGTAACATGAGGACTGAGAACTGACCACTGGGTTTAGCAATGCAGAGTCCCTTGTGGCCCTTGTCAGCAGATGAGGGCAGTATGGTCCAGAGCTGAGGCTTGGGGCCCAGATGTAGCGCAGCTGCCCAGTCCAGCTCCTCCCTTGTCCAGGCAGGGCCCCGCCACCCAGCAGCCGCTCCTCTTCCTGCCTGCCTATGGCTGCCTGGTCTCCCTTTCCTCCCCATATCCCCACACCTGTGCTTGGCTGGGGAGAGTCAGAGCTCCCCTGTCAGCTGGGTCCCCTCCTGGCCCTGGGAGGCCGCCACTGGAGCCCTGCCTCTTCCTGGCAGGGAGCATCGAGTACAGCTGTCCGGCTTCCAACGAGTGTGAGATCACCAAGCGGAGACGCAAGGCCTGCCAGGCCTGCCGCTTCACCAAGTGCCTGCGGGTGGGCATGCTCAAGGAGGGTGAGCGCTGGGCAGGGGCTGGGCGAGGGGTGGGGGAGCAGGGCCTGGCCCGGGTAGGGGCGAGGTTTGGGAGTTCTGGTGAGTGGCCTGGGGAGGAAAGCTCTGGAGAGCAAGCCCTGCCCTTCCCCCACCCCACAGTCACAATCCTGTCTGTCCTACAATTCAAGGAGTACGCCTGGACCGCGTCCGGGGTGGGCGGCAGAAGTACAAGCGGCGGCCAGAGGTGGACCCACTGCCCTTCCCAGGCCCCTTCCCTGCTGGGCCCCTGGCAGTAGCCGGAGGCCCCCGGAAGGCAGGTGAGAGCACTGTGGGTCCCTGGGGTAGGACACGAGAGGCCTGTGTGTGGCATCATAGTTACCTTGGGCACTGGGACCTGTGTTTCCCCTTCATCTCTTCACTTATTCATTTCCCCAAGACATTCGAAAATGCCTTTTCCTGCAGCAGTATGTCTGGGAACAGGGACAGATTTTCCAACACTCACAGCCTGTCCACAACAGACGGGCTTTCCCTGGGAGATAGTGAGCGCTCTTCCCTGGAGCGAAGTTGCTGGCCAGCCGCTACTGAGGAAGGCCACAGCGGGAGCAGCTCTGGGAGGATGCTTGATCCCTGAGGCTTAACAGACTCGAGTCCTCCTGACGCTTGTCCTCTAATTGTTGCCACAGCCCCAGTGAATGCACTGGTGTCTCATCTGCTGGTGGTTGAGCCTGAGAAACTCTATGCCATGCCTGACCCCGCGGGCCCTGATGGGCACCTCCCAGCGGTGGCTACCCTCTGTGACCTCTTTGACCGAGAGATCGTGGTCACCATCAGCTGGGCCAAGAGCATCCCAGGTAAAGGGCCCAGGTGACCTGGGGCCGCGCTGAACGAGTCGGCTCTGCTGCACTTGCTCAGCCAGGCCCGCTCCCCTCTAGGCTTCTCATCGCTGTCGCTGTCTGACCAGATGTCAGTACTGCAGAGCGTGTGGATGGAGGTGCTGGTGCTGGGTGTGGCCCAGCGCTCACTGCCACTGCAGGATGAGCTGGCCTTCGCTGAGGACTTAGTCCTGGATGAAGAGGGGGCTCGGGCAGCTGGCCTAGGGGAACTGGGGGCTGCCCTGCTGCAGCTGGTGCAGTGACTGCAGGCCCTCCAGCTGGAGCAAGAGGACTACATCCTCTTGAAGGTCCTGGCCCTTGCCAATTCAGGTGAGCCTGGGGCAGGTCACCTAACAGGTGTCTTCATAAGGTCTTCAGGTTTTTAACTCAGTGATGGTGTCACAGTCCCATTTTGCAGATAAGGAAAACTGAGGCTTAGGGAAGAACAATGATTCGCTCAGAGTCAAAAACCAAGCCAAGTGCAAGCTCCAAACTGCACACAGGATTTTGAGCCCTAGTGTCATGCTCATGCAGAAAGGCCAAGTTTAGTGGGAGGGAAGGTGAGGAGGGTACAAGGTGGCCACAGTGGAGGGAGAAAGGGTGGGGCCCTGGCTCATGGTGCCCCTCAGTCAAGCCAATCAACAAATTCTCGTTTGGCTCCTCCTTAGGCCCCATCTAGCAGTGCTCAAGCAGATGTGGGGAGTGCCCTTGCCAGGGATAGTCCAGGCCACCAGCATGCTCCTCTCCTTGCAGACTCTGTGCACATCGAAGATGCTGAGGCTGTGGAGCAGCTGCGAGAAGCCCTGCATGAGGCCCTGCTGGAGTACGAAGCCGGCCGGGCTGGCCCCGGAGGGGGTGCTGAGCGGCGGCGGGCGGGCAGGCTGCTGCTCACGCTACCGCTCCTCCGCCAGACAGCGGGCAAAGTGCTGGCCCATTTCTATGGCGTGAAGCTGGAAGGCAAGGTGCCCATGCACAAGCTGTTCTTGGAGATGCTCGAGGCCATGATGGACTAAGGCAAGGGGTGGAACTGGTGGGGGTTCTGGCAGGACCTGCCCAGCATGGGGTCAGCCCCAAGGGCTGGGGCAGAGTTGGGGTCTGGGCAATGTCACAGCCTGCTGGCAGGGCCAGGGCAATGCCATCAGCCCCTGGGAGCAGGCGCCACGCCCTCCCTTCCCCGCTCCTAGGGGTTATCAGAAGCTGGGAACGTGTCCAGGCTCTGGGCACAGTGCTGCCCCTTGCAAGCCATAACGTGCCCCCAGAGTGCAGGGGGCCTTGCGGAAGCCATAGTGGGCTGCAGGGGATGTGTGGGAGGCAGAAGCCTATCTCAGGGAGGGAAGGGGATGGAGGCCACTGTCTCCCAGTGGGTTATGCTTTTGTTGCTGTTTAATCCTACCCGCTCTCCAGAGCAGAGTGGGACTTGGAGAGCAAAGGCCCCTGCCCCCTTCGCTCCTCTCTCATCATTTGCATTGGGCATTAGTGCCCCCCCTTGAAGCAATAACTCCAAGCAGGCTCCAGCCCCTGGACCCCTGGGGTGGCCAGGGCTTCCCCATCAGCTCCCACCCAGCCTCCTCAGGGGGTAGGAGAGCACTGCCTCTATGCCCTGCAGAGCAATAACACTATATTTATTTTTGGGTTTGGCCAGGGAGGCGCAGGGACATGGGGCAAGCCAGGGCCCAGAGCCCTTGGCTGGACAGAGACTCTATTTTAATGTATATTTGCTGCAAAGAGAAACCGCTTTTGGTTTTGAACCTTTAATGAGAAAAAAATATATACTATGGAGCTCAAGAGCACTGTGTGTGTGGTGTGTTACTGGGTCAAGGGTTGGGGATACACAACAAAAATACACACGGTCATAACAAGAAAAACTGGCGCCTGGCACGATCAACTCTCAGATTCGTCTTCACTCAGCAGCATGTTGGGGATCCCGCGGCTGATGGGGAACATACGTCCAGACTCCGGGCACTGCAGGGTGCCCTCCACCACTTCCACCTCCAGCAGCAGGTGGTGCATGGTCCTCAGAAACTCTTCATTCTCCTCATACCCCTCAACCGGCCCTTTAGGCACCTGGACCAGGCGCAACTGTGGGCAAGAGGCTGAAATTATCTCCTGGCATCCCGAACTCCCTCCTCAGTCCGGCTGAGGTGTGCCCGCCCCTCACTCCTCGGGATATGCTCGGGCGGGGGAAGTATCCTCACGTTATCGGCCGCCTCCAGGAACGCCGCCCACTCCACCTTGGGTATCATACGCGCCACGAATTGGGGGTTGAACTCCACGGGGCAGATGCGGACCTCCGTGGCCTGCAGAGTGGAAGAGTTTAGTTACGCAAGCACTGGGCTCCGCTCCACCACCCCGCCCGAAGAGAGGAGAGACCGCCGCTGGCTGGTACCTGGAGGCGCAGGGGGAAGCCACGGGGCCCCACCCCCCGCACATGCGAGCTCAGTAGATTGTGGGTGAGCAGTTTCATGTCTCCTCACAAGCTTTCTCCAGGCCGGAACCGGAAGAAGGTCGTCCTCCGCTTGCGTCACTTCCGAGGATGCGCCACTCAATGCTATTGGATGGCTAGAAGAACCGGAAGTAGTGAACTTGCCGGAACTTCTGGTGCTTGAGGAAGCTGAGGTAGGTAGGTGAAAGACCTGTCCGGTCACGCGCTGCTACCGGAAGCGTCTTAGCAGGAGATTGCTACGGCGCACGCCCAGTTTTTTTTTTTGCCACAAATACTACGTAAGATGCAAATTATATGCAAAATAGCTGCAATGCAGGGGCTCTCGTTGAACGCAAAATAATCATGTTTTACCCTACACAGGCCCCTGACACCGTCGTCTTTTGTACCCCGCTTTCGATTAAGGAGCAGAAACACTGCCCCATCTAAATTAGGCCCATGGAAGGCGAGCGGCACCTCATTCTTGTATGCAAATTAGCGGCTCCACTGCCGAAAGCTCCGCCCCACTGATAAATACGCCTGCGGTCCAGCCCCCATGCAAATGAGGCTAGGGTCCTAGAGGATCTATTCGGCTTGTGGCCGCTCGCGCCTGCGCAGTGGAAGAGGCCTCGGCCCGCCTTCCGCCGACATTGCTACTGCGCCTCCAGCAGTGCCCCGCCCGCTGCGGTCGCTCCAGCCAGGGGGCGGAGTGAAAGTAGCCGTGGGGCGGGCATGGGACTAGCCAGGCTGCGCGCCCTGAGACGCCCAGCGGGTTTTGTACTCGTTGGTGGGGCCGCCGGTCAGTCTGTGGCAGTGGGAGCGGCGGCCGCAGCGGGAGCGGCAGCAAGACGGCGAGGTGAAGGAGGGTGGGCGTCTGGCGGAGTCCGCAGTTTCAGCAGAGTCGCTGCAGCCATGGCCCCGATCAAGGTGACCGCTGGCCGAGCCGGGCCTGACATCCCCCACTCTCCCCATGCCAACCCGCGTCCCGCTGGTCTGGGGGTGTCGCCTTCTTTCCTGCCTGCCCCTCCCATCCCCTCAGAAGGCCCGCGTGGCTGCCCACCCTCCTCTCCAATGGTGGGGGCCTCACCTTCTGGGACAGTCCCGAGGCATTTTTTTTTTTTTTTTTGAGACAGAGTCTCATTCCGTCGCCCAGGTTGGAGTGCAGTGTCGCGATCTCGGCTCACTGCAACCGCCGCCTCCCGAGTTCAATCGATTCTCCAGCCTCAGCCTCCTGAGTAGCTGGGGCTACAGGCGCGAGCCACCGTGCCCGGCTAATTTTTGTATTTTTTGGTAAAGACGGGGTTTCACCATGTTGGCCAGGCTGGTTTTGACCTCCCGACCTCAGGTGATCCGCCTACCTCGGCCTCCCAAAGTGCTGGGATTACAGGCGTGAGCCACAGCGCCCGGCCTGATTTTCCTCGTCTGTCTTCTGCAACAGCTGTCCCTTAGCGACCTCGCAGGGGCTTCCCCTATCCCACCCCCTGACCTCCACTCCTCCCATGGCAAATTCCCACCATCTGCCTGTCCTTTCACTCATCTCCTGGAACCGTCCCCAGGGCCTTGGACCTTCCCCCTGCTCCTCCCAAACCCTTGTGAGACCCCTTTCCCTTTCTGCTTCATCCTGTTCCCAACCCCGGGCTCCTCAGAGACTCCGGCACCTCTGACTCTCTCTTCCTACCCTCTCTGGCCCCAGGAAGCCCTCAAGTACTCCGGGGAGACGGATCCTTCCTCCTTCAAGAGATTCCTTCTTTTGTTCCATACATCCTGGGTGTAGGGGCCTGGACACCCTACCCTAACTTTTCCACCTGCTGCTATCCTCCCTTTTCCTCCTTGTGAGGGTGGGACCCTCAGACCTGGCCAAGACCCTTTCCCTCCGTGTTTTCAGGGACTCCTCCTCATCCCCAAATGCAGCCCTCTCCCCCCCCCCCCCGCCCATTTATCCCACTCCTTTCCTGTAACCTAGACAGTGTGTTATGCAACCCTTTTGACACTTGGGGAGGCCTTCCTGCCCTTTCTCTGTTGTCACCAATGGGCCCTTAAGAGGACTAGGGCCACCTTGAAACCTGGAGGATATGGCGTAACTCGGTGCGGGCAGGCAGGGAGGGCCCCTGGAAACTCTGACAGGGCTGGAGTTTCCTGCTGGATGTCAGCCCTAGCTCCTGCAGGCGCAGCTGCCAGGCTCTCTGTTCACCTTCCCGCCTCCGGTTTGCCCCGCTGTCTCACCGCCCTTACCTTGGAGTCCTTCCTTCTAGGTGGGAGATGCCATCCCAGCAGTGGAGGTGTTTGAAGGGGAGCCAGGAAACAAGGTGAACCTGGCAGAGTTGTTTAAGGGCAAGAAGGGTGTGCTGTTCGGAGTTCCCGGGGCCTTCACCCCTGGCTGTTCCAAGGTGAGGCCCTTCCCTTCTGAGGACCAGGACCTGGGATGTTTTGTGTTGCTTTGAAGTCCTCCACATAGTCCTGACAGGAAGGCAAAAAGCATTTCAGTGCTATTGGAAAACAAGTAGAGGCTGCTGGAAGGGAGCAGCACCAGCAATGCTGGAGAAAAGCTTACTGCAATGAAATCCAGCACCCCTGTTGGTCTTGCTAAATGACAGGCACTGTGGAAGGTGCTTGGGAGTCAGATAAATAAGACATAGTTCTGCCCATGGGAAGTTCATATTCTGGACCAGAAGGCATTAAGTTTCATTCTGAGCTTCCTAGTGGCCAAGGCAAAAAGGAAATAGAATGGTTTAGACAGCCCTCATTGTTTGATCAAAGCTGTTGAGGCAGAGCAGTGAGGAGGGCCTGGAGATGAAGGGTGGGCTGGGGGGCAGATGCAGTTATCCCTTTGCTGACCCTTTATTTCCCTTCCCCAGACCCACCTGCCAGGGTTTGTGGAGCAGGCCGAGGCTCTGAAGGCCAAGGGAGTCCAGGTGGTGGCATGCCTGAGTGTTAATGATGCCTTTGTGACTGGCGAGTGGGGCCGAGCCTACAAGGCGGAAGGCAAGGTGAGATGCGGGCCTGCAGGGAGTCAGGGCCAGGTAGGAGATTATTCTTGTGACGTTTCTTTTCTCTGCAGGTTCGGCTCCTGGCTGACCCTACTGGGGCCTTTGGGAAGGTGAGTGTTCTGTGTTCCCCCAACCTCCACAGGGAGATAGCAGTATGGGGAGCAGTGGGGGCCCTTGGCCTCCTCGGGGGTTTCTGACACTTTTCTTTGTCTCTTCTTAGGAGACAGACTTATTACTAGATGATTCGTTGGTGTCCATCTTTGGGAATCGACGTCTCAAGAGGTAAAAGTGGGAGAGTCGTCCATGAGGGGAGAGTCTTCTGTGGGGGGAGAGTCCTCTGTGTGGGAAAATCGTCTGTTGGGGGAGAATCCTCTGTGGGGGGAGAGTCCTCAATGGGGAGAGAGTCTTCTGTGGAGGAGAGTCCTCTGTGAGGGAGAATCCTCTGTGGGGGGAGAATCTTCTTTTTGGGGAGAGTGCTCTGTGGGGAGAGTCCTCTGTGGGGGGAGAGTCCTCTATTGCAGGGAGTCCTCTGGTAGGGGGAGAGTCCTCTGTGGGGGAGAGTCTTCTATTGGGAGGAGTTCTCTGGTGGGGGGAGAGTCCTCTGTGGCGGTGGGGAGTCCTCTGGTGGGGGGAATCCTCTGTGGGGGAGAGTCCTTTGTGGAAAGGAGTCCTCTGTGGGGTTCTCTTGGGCCCCTGGCTCTTCACTGCCCATCTCCATGGTCTACCTCCAAGCCCAGGCTGATGCAGCTGTCTGGGCCTGTCTTTCTGGCAGATTCTCCATGGTGGTACAGGATGGCATAGTGAAGTCCCTGAATGTGGAACCAGATGGCACAGGCCTCACCTGCAGCCTAGCACCCAACATCATCTCGCAGCTCTGAGGCCCTGGGCCAGATCACTCCCTCTACCCCTCCCTATCTCACCTGCCCAGCCCCGTGCCAGGGCCCTGCAATTAGAACCTTGGCCAGATTTCTGCAATAAACGTTTGTGGCTTGTGCCCTTCTTCTTGGTTAGGAATGGCTGTTTTGCTCAGTGCCAGGCATCCTGGCGTCGTCACAGACTGGGCGAGAGCGGTCAGAGCGCATATGGGCTGAAAGGGAGAATGTAGGGGGTTTTGGCTTGATTAAGGGGGAGTCGGGGAGGGAGTTTTGAGCGAGGTATTTTTTTTTTTTTCTTTTTGAGATGGAGTTTCACTGTCGCCCACGCTGGAGTGCAGTGGCATGATCTTGCCTCACCGTAACCTCCGCCTCCTGGGTTCAAGTGATTCTCCTGCCTCAGCTTCCCGAGTAGCTGGGATTACAGGCACCCACCACCACGCCTGGCTAATTTTTTGTATTTTTGGTAGAGATGGGATTTCACCATGTTGGCCAGGCTGGCCTTGAACTCCCGACAGATGATCCACCCAACTTGGCCTCACAAAGTGCTGGGATTACAAGTGTGGGCCACTGTGCCTGGCCTCGAGGGAGGTGTTAGTGAGCACCGAGAAGGAGCCAGCAAACTGAAGAGTGAGGGGAAGCAGTCCCCACAGAGGCGGCACAGAGGGCAAGGCCCAGCCGATGCCATGTGGTACACAGCGTGGCCTTTGTGCCTGCACTCTGGGTGCTCACTGGTGCCATTTAGGCCGGAAACAGGGCGGGAACCTTGGCTCCCAGCACTCCTGCTGGGCCCAGCCCCACCGTCCTTTCAGACTTGAACCCCTCCTGGGCACACCCTCATCCCAGGAAGAGCTCAGGTCACCTTAGGAGTATCTGACAGACAGGGAGAGGGGCTCCAGCACAGCACTTGCCCAGTCCAGGAGGGCTCCCTGGGAGAAGAGTCTAGGTGAGCTGTGGGGGGGAGAAGACGCTGGTGAGGCCTGACCAGTGGTGGCTCGGTGTGAGGGGCCTCGAGCCAGGGACACCAGCAGGGTTTGGGGCTAGGGGCCATTGCTATGGCAGGCCCTGCTCCTGGGCATCTGCCTCTTGGCGCTGGGAAGCTGTGTGTGGCCGCAGGCAGTGATCGTGAGGCCCCGCTGCGTGGAGTGTAGGAGCCTGTGTGCCGCTGTCGATGCTGCCTGCCTGCTCCAGGTGTGGCAACAGCCCTCACAATAATCCGGTGAGGTGTGGGCTGCTGCTGCCTCTCAGCCACCTACATGGAGTCGGGATTCCATCACCGTGTGGAACTGCACTGTCAGGAACCACAATACCTGGTTCCCGGGGCACTTCCTGCCGAGTGGTCCCCAGGGCTTTTGAGAGGTCAGGAAGAAGGTCAAAGAGGGGCCTCCTAGAGCAAATGACGCTTGAGGCAGTGGGAGTGGTACGGGAGGCGAGGGAGCCCATAGCCTTAGGAGTGGAAGGTGGGATGGGACAGTCCCATGCAGCCCAGCACAGTGCAAGGTGGGTGTCGGGGTAGGGGGAATGTCAGGGACGAGAGGATGCCTGGTGGTCACTGGGGCCTCTGAATCTGGTAAGCAGCTTGCCTTGCACCCTACAGGCACCTTGGTCGTGGCTACCGTGTGCAGCCCCTGAGCTGGGAGGCTGAGCGAGGTACCACATGGGCAGTGGAGAGCAGGACCCATGATGAGAGCAATGCCCAGGAGGTGGGGGCGGGGTGTGCTGGGAGGGAGGGTGCATCTGGGGGGCCACTTGCTGAAGGTGGAGGGGCTGGGTGCTTATAGCCGTGTTGGTGAGAACAGACACGCAGTAGGAGGGGAGCCAGCCTCCCCGCCCAGGGTCGCAGTGCTCAGCCTTCCCAAGTCGTGCCGCCCACCGACCTCTGTCGCTGTGGTTCTCTCCCACAACCTGCCACCACTTCAGGGGTCTTGGACCAGGCCAGGGCAGGAGGCTGACTGCACTCCCAGCTTCCCTGGTAACCTGACTGCCTCTCCTCTCCCACCATACTTGGTGGCACAGCGTTGTCCTCGTGGACACGCATGGTGCAAAGCCCCCTTTTTTCCCGGATACCACCTCATAATCCTCTCATCGTACAAATGAGAAAATGGACATGGAGCTTCCTCCAGGGCACCTGTGAGCTTCATTGTCTCATCAGCAAATGGGGGGGCAGTGGTGGCTGACAGCTGACCCCATGGGCTGTGTGCCCCATTGCTCTTTCCTGCAGCCTCGTGCTGCCGGGACAGCTCCCTGCTATTGGGGAAGCCCAGCTCCATCGCTGCCACTCAGCTGTCTCCATTTCCTCTGCTCCTGGGCTCTTATCTGGGCTGGCTGAGACCAAGCAAGGCCTCTAGAGGAAGTATCCCCTCCAGGGTCCACTGCTACTGGCTGGGCCTTTAGGAAGGGTCAAAGGGGCTTCCGGGGCTGGGGTGGCCCTCCAGGACAGTCTGGTGTGGGTGGCAGTGGGGCTATGGCCGCAGTGGCACTGACTGCTGAGCATGTGGGTGAGCTTGAGGGGGGGACGTCCTTCGGTAGGGGAGGGGGGACTGGCCCTGGGAACTGCTTCAGGTCCTGGAGGACTGAAGATGAAACAGCATCTGGCAAGAGAGCCTTTCATAGCTGTCTCCAGGGTGGACAGGTGGGGCTTCAGGCCTGGAGATAAGGGCAGACCAGGCCATGGTGTCCTGGACCAGAGAGCCCTGGACGCCTGGGTTGCACCTGGCAGAGCTGTACATGTGGCCTTCCTGGGCTGCTGGTGGCTGAAGGACCGACATTAAAAAATATGACAAAATATCCTAGACCGGGCGCGGTGGCTCATGCCTGTAATCCCAGGACTTTGGGAGGCCTAGGTGGGCAGATCACTTGAGGTCAGGAGCCTGAGACCAGCCTGGCCAACATGGTGAAACCCCATCTCTACCAAAAATACAAAAATTAGCAGGGCATGCTGGTGTATGTCTGTAATCCCAGCTACCCAGGAAGCTGAGGCAGGAGAATTGCTTGAACCTGAGAAGTAGAGGTTGCAGTGAGCCGAGATCTGGCCACTGCACTCCAGCCTGAGCAACAGAGCAAGACTCTGTCTCAAAAAA